TAAAGTCAATTGACATTATTACCTTTTTAAAAACGAAATAAAATCCATTGACATTATTTCTCTTTCAAACATTAAATTTGTTTAGCTTCGCGGCGGCCCGCGCGACCGGCGCGCACACTACGTCACGCTACGCTTATATTCAATAAAATACCCTCTATCTGCACACTTTTCACAAAGATGAGATTCTGATATAAAAATCCACCTAAGCTTTAACTGTCATCAGTGATATTAATGTTACCTTATATAACGACAGGTAATAAGTCCCAGATGGTTTCTAAAATCACAAATTAGTTTTTGTGCAAATTGCAGATAGAGGGTATTAATGAATTCAAGACCTCGATATTTCACGTTCTTATATTTGTAAGTTATTAGATGCCAACTTGGCTCAAACCGTGCCATTTGTCCCTATTTTACTTCAAATGGCACTTAATTTTTCAATTTGGAACAAAGTGCCAAAATAGCACTTTTGTAAAAACAATTACATTTCAATACATTTTTGTGAAATCCTTTGCGGTGCACTTCTTTTTCTCAACTAAAATTTTCTAATTTATAAAGGCTATTCAACTGGTTTATCTTATTTTATCATTGTACTTTTGTTTGGAAAATGTAGCTTTATTTTATTGCTAAATGTGAATAATTAAAAGGAATGACACCTTTTTTGGCACTTTTAATTTTCTATTTGGCACATTTTGGCACTTTTTTATCCTCAATATGGCACCTCATAACTAAGAATAGTTGCCAGCCCTGATTGGAAGATTTCTGCTGTGTGTTTTGGGGCAACAACTTGTCTGCAGTAAAAAAGCGTATAATTTGTGTTTCAAAAGTGTGTGAAAACCAATCAATTCACTTATATGATCTCGGTTCCGATATTAAATAATCAATAATTGTTTATACCCGCATTTTGGCACATTGGCTCGTTGAATGTGCCATCTAATAAATAGTGTCGTCATTCTCCTTAGCTGCTTTTAAATGATGTCGTCACAAATTGCTGGCGGAGACATTGTTTCCTTATAGAAAAGTTGGTTTCTTTTCCACCTTAGACATTCCGAATTCGTTCAAAATATGCTAATTTAAAACACAGAATTCTTTCAGTGTTCCTCCGGGGTTTTTGGACATGGACTGTTTCTTCAATTTAATAGTGTTCGCTTTATTTTTGCGGAAACGAAACATGTTTTGCAAGTTATGGATCATCCGTACACTCTTTTTTCAAATATTTCTCGTATTCCAGCTGTGCGCAGGCGTTAAGTTTTTCGCATCGTGTTTTTACATATTCGTAATTTAAATTTTTTTAATAAAATCAAATGGAGGTAATTCATGATTGCGTGTGGATTAATATCACAACACTGAGGATTTGGCAATAACCTTTTTCATCTATTAAAAAACAACACTTACGGGGCAATGTTTATTGTAAGAACAACCTTTTTTTCTATGAATCGACATACTTTAAGCATTGTTGACGCTATTTCCATTTGAATGAGAAAATAGCGTCAATGACTTTATTTCCAAACTTTTGTTGACTTTATTTCGCTTTTGAAAAGGTAATAATGTCAATTGACTTTATTTCGCACCAGGGTGCAAATGCAATTCCAACTGCAAATCCAAGACCATTTCCACAACATCCTGAAGAGCCCTCCTTATATGTCTTTATCTTTTTAAGAAGTCTTGTAATTTAGCTTGGGGTGTCTGTGACACCCCGCGAGTAACGATGCACTACAACAAATGCGCGAGTAACGGTGGTTGAAGTACGGACAATTAAAAACAAAATATATACATACATATGTATGTACATACATATGTATACACTGTTGTTCACAAAATAATAAGAGTGCGATATTTTGACCAGTTTTGTCTATTTTGCTGTTGTTCCTTTAATGTTTACTAATTTTTTATAAAAGTATAGCTCATTATCTGCCAAAAACGGTATAAATCGCATTGCAAATTTTGTGCCAAACTGAAAATATACAACAATTTTTCACCGAAATTTCAGAATTAAAAAAATACACTTGTAGCACCGTGTAATAACGTAAAAATAATTTTGGCATTAGCGGAACTTCAAATACACCCCAAAAATCTTTAGTTATGGTCAAAAATCTGGATGTTGGTCAGAACACCGGTCATAAATTGGACAGTTTTCAGCGGACACTCATAATGACATACCATTTTTTTGTAGCAACGTATGCAATTTTATAGCCCATTAAATTTTAGTGCAATTGCATTTTTTTTTTTTTGTTCACGGTGTCACCGATTTTCCTCCATACAAAGTATGCTCGACAATTTTTTTATTTGGAATAAAATGCTTAACACCCTCAAAAAGTTCAATAGTCAACGTGGTTTTTTAGCAACTTAACTATAACTATTTAAGATAATTCAATAGCTACAAAAAGCCAAGGAACTTCGACTAAAAAAATTGTTGTTACTGTATTTTGGAGTGAATTTGCGTTATCCCTTGATGTATCAAACTCAATTAGCATCAGTTAAATACATATATACATGTGTATTTATGTATATTATGCATTCAATATATATATATATACTTTTTTTTAACATTTTCTTCATATCAGCGTGGTGCTTTGCGAAAGTCTATTGATGATCTACTTCATGAATGAAACGAACGAAGAAAAAATGAGACAAAAAGCAACCATTCTGCGGTGTCGGCTGACGCTTGAGGTGACAACAACGTAGGCACCACCGCCAACAATACATTAAATGCGACACTATGTAGACAATAACCAATTCGCTTTTCAACTTCCCAAAACGAGGAGGTAGTGCAATTTGTGTGTTTGCGTTTTATTTGTTTTTTTCTTCTTATTTTTTACCAAGCAGTTTCTCGCCATGCTATCAATTGTTTAGCGAATTAGCATAGGAATTTATTGTCTCAGCAAATTTTTTCCTTTTTTACAATTTACGCAACTGAATAAAAGTGACAAAGAAGAAGTCTTAGGGGGTGAATATTTAAATAAGGAATCCAAAAAGTTATATCCTGTTCCGGTATGCTACATAATTAATATATTTTATAGTGTACATATGTATATGAAAGAAATGTACATATAAATAGTGGAAAGAGTGAAGGATGGAACACTCTTAATTTGGTATTCCCGAATTTTTGTGACATGAGCGAGCACACATTAAAAAACGTATACAAATAAGACTAAAATTATACCCCTTTTCAAGATTAATGGATTTGTAAGGATATTCAATTAAAGTACCCTTGATATCAGAATATTAGAATTGCTATGTATGTACATACATATATATATGTGCACACGCATCTACATTGAAATCGTTGCTACGCAACTGCAATAGATCATTGCATAATTCAAATTAATTACATTTAGGCACTGATCTTTTTCATTTTCCAAATATGAACACCACAAAAGATTTTTTATGACCATAACACGTTTGAGGAAATTATAAACAAATAAATGTCGACAACTTTCTTTGTTCATGCATCACTCTCATCTTGAATAAAATAAATGTCGCTTTTACTCAATGGGATATTAATCAATTATTATTATTTTTTTTTGTGTAAAAGTCACTTACCTTGTCCCCATGGGTTGGCTGGCTCCAGATAGCCTGTGACCAGCTCATTGTCACTTTTTGGAAATGATACACGGCGAGGCAACACATTGTTCGGATCAGAACTTTTGCGTATTGAAAACGGTGAAACCGTAGCACTGTATGTACCACTTTTTATAACAGCACCTGTGCAGCTGGTTAATGCCGTTGCTGTGGCATCGATGCTTATACTACCGCTTGACCCTAAGACAGAATCTTTAGACCACATTGTCGTCTGCTTTGTGTCATGATAGCTTTTCATTTTCTGCTGCTGTTGATTGCGACGCAACTGTGACTGCACGGCGAATGAGGGATCGCTTGAAGTGTGCGCAAGAGGTGTTGCGCTGCATTGTGCGGTCGCCACAGATGTTGACATTGGCAAAGTGGGCGATGTCGGCGATGTGGGTGGTGTCGGCGGTATTGGCGGTTTAGTGGTTGTTGCTGATGATACTAATAGTGAATCGGTTGCTTTTGTGGCCGTTGTTGTTGCCCCTATACCGAATGTATCTTTGACAAAACGAGGCATTCTCGTACAATCCCCCACTAAGTCTACACTTTCAACATCCGTTGCAGCGTTGTCATTACTTTTTGGTGCTGAGACGTTAATAGAAGTATTATCGCCTTTTTGTTGTTGGCTTGTTGTAGCAGCTAGGATTGCTGTGGCTGTTACTGCAACGCATTCTCCTTGGATGTCGGCAGTCGCACCCGCATTTGTAAACACCCACTCCCCAACACCCTCAGCAGCTACTATGTCTATCGGTTTTCTATCATCACTAACTCCAAGCATGGATTCACCACTGGCTGAAGCAGAATAATGATATCCATCACTATTTTGTGTATCCGCTGCATAAGTCTGAGCACTACTGGCATTTCCGGATAGTTCTATTTGCTGCTCCGTATCCGTTCGAAAATCCTGTTGAGTACCAACTTGTGAGCCGCTTAACGCTGTGGTGCTTATTGGAGCGGCCACAGTAGTCACTGTAGAGGTTTGTATTGTTGATTCTTCGCTAAAGATTGGATTTTGTTTTTCGCTTTCATTGTTTGTAAAATAACTCATATTCTCCCTGCACGCGTTTGATTTAATTTGGCCTTTTCTGTACGGATTCTTGAGATTGAGATAAAAACGTTTAAATCATTCGTTAGAGAATTGTAACAAGCAAAATTTTAGCACAAAAATTCATACACTCATGGACAAAAGAATAGGTTACGACATTTTGAGTAGTTCATTTAATTTCATTTTTATTTCGCTATTTATTGAGAAAATATTAGTATAATAAGACCTGCGTTCTTATTATTAGGTCAAATTAAAAAAATAAAATACCAGTTCTTAAAGCTAAGATTTATAATAAAGTACAGACAATTAAAAACAAAGCAGTGGGTATACAAATATAAACATATATCGGCTAGAAGATAGGTATTTAGATAGCGAAACTCATAATTATGTAACACATCTAATGGAAGCTAATGAAACTTGCAAGAGACCAGTTGAGCCCGATTTTTTTATTTTTGTTTGTTTGTATTCAATTTTTTTGCGCAAAGTGGAGAAAATCAATTCTCCTTTTCCAGTTAATAAATGTTACATAATGAAACAATTGTAGAGTTTTTCCAAAACGAAAAAAATTAAAAATAAAAATTTGGAAATGTTATAAAAAAAACATTTCACCAAAATTATAATTTTTTTATACAGTTTTATAGACCATTCAATTGTAGTATAAAAAGGTGCAACTTCCAATTATTATAAATTATTAAAACTCAACACGACCTGTTGCCATTTGCAAATTGCACTTTATTGTACTAAAATTTAGTCGTCTATAAAACTGCTTACTCAACATTTTTCTAAAAACTCAATTTTTTTTATTTTTTCTTTGTGAATTTTTAATTTTATTTTATTTATGGCCTTATAACAATTATATTCAACAATTTTATTGAACTTGAGGCCGTTTTTAATGAAAACTATTATTATGGTTTCCACAATAGTTTTCATTAAAAACGGCCTCAATCTCAATAAAATTCTTGTGAATTTTTTTTCGTTGTGGGGAACCCCTAAATTGTTTTCAACTAGTTTTTATTATGTAACATTTATTAACTGAAACAGGAGAATCGATTTTCTTCAAAATTGATACTTTTTCTGCACTTTAGATAAAAAATTTAATACAAACAAACAAAATTTAAAAATCGGGCTCAACCGGTCTCTTGCAAATTTTATAAGCTTTTATATAAAAAAAAAAATTATCACAATTAAGGCTGCAGTAAATTGTGAACACTCAATTCCAGTTTAGAACCACTGTGCATTGGAATATAGTTCCATGTGCGATAGTCGTTCAGAGATTAGATAATTATAACTTAATACTATCAAGTCTTTATTCGAGCTGATTTAAGGAAAATGAGCTTGCCACGTAGATAGCTAGGCTCCTTAATGTATGTACATATTAAATCGACGGATAAAAGTTACAGAAACCCTTGAATATGAAGTGAACTTTATAGATAAGGGTTACTTGGGAAAACGGCCGTGTGTTTATTTTCTCAATCATATGTTTTTTGGAACTTCGATAACGTCCCGGTTAATTTTGAACAGTTGTTAACATTTACAATGACTATCGATAGTACTATCGATAGTAGCACTTGACACTATCGATAGTATCACTGCAAACTATCAACGAGTAATGACAGTTTTTTTCCTGAAAAGTCTCGAACGGAAGTGGGTTAAACTGACCGGAAGTCCATTTCCTAAAATTAGACATACATACATAAATGTGTTTACTACAGATTCGGAGCACCCAGAAAAAAATTTATGACAAAAGTTATATATTTTTGTCCACAGAAATTGAATTTGTTGTAAAAATATGCATGTCTTAAAAAAAAATGGACTTCCCGTCATATTATCCCACATCCGGGCGAAACCGAAAGTCGGTAATACGACCATAAGATTGAGCATGCCCGACTTTGTCATTCCAAAATGAAAACATTTTGATCCATTTTAGATGATGCCTTGAAGCAACAAGTTTTTTACCACGCTATGAAATTTGTGTACAATATTAAAAAGGGCAACCTGCCGGATTATCTTAGCGATAATCTCCGATATATAAATGAGACGCATACATATTTGTTGAGAGAGAATAACAGCTTCAGACTCCCGAAGTATAGAACAGAAGTGGACAAAAAAAATATTTTCTATAAAGGCTTAAAGTGCTTCAATGAATTACCAGAGGCTATAAAAAATTGTGATACTATCACTCTTTTCAAGCGGCTGCTATTTGACTATTGTAGAACGCAGCCTACAAGATAGTGATGTATCAACAATAGCGTGGATTGGAAACTAGGCCTTTCCAACCACCAAGATATCGAGACTAGGCGGATCGGAAACTCGGCCTTTCCGACTACCTAGACCCTTAGATAATAAACAATAAACGAGCGGATTGGAAACTAGGCCTTTCCAACCGTCAACCGTCACGAAAGCGCGACTGGGTGGATCGGAAACTCGGCCTTTCTGACCACCCAGGAGATATCAATAAATGGAGTAACCCAAAAAGAATAGCGCGGATTGGAAACTCGGCCTTTCCAACCGTCTACATAACTTCCAGGAAATTGCATGCGTTTATATTGACATAAAATAATTGCAGTGATAAAGAAATAATGTTATTTAAAAATTTCTGTAGAGCATTTTGTATTTTGTATTTAATATTTAATATTTACATTTTAAATCTAAAATCTAGTTATAAGAATGTTAAATCTTTGTTGCAATATAAGTCTAACAGACTGTAAAAAATAAATAAATAAATAAAATAAAATAAAAATAAGTCCAGGAAGAGTCAAAGTTCGAAGGTCATTTAGACATTCCGACAAAAAAGTTTCAAAGAAATTTACGTATGTTTATCCTCAGGATCGCAATTTGTAATAAAAGCATGTACATATGTATGTCTAATTAAAAAATGCACTTCAGGTCGGCTTAATAGACTTAAAACAATCCCGGTCGAAACCGGAAATCGGTAATACCACTAAAATATAACGTATCCCGATTTGGGTAGTCATATTTTTGTATTTTTCAATAACAAAGATTTCCCTGTATATTAAGATTTAATCGACTATAAAATTACAAAATAAAAATTTTCTGATTAAAAGTATTGCAATTTTGATCACAACACACACACACACATAACAGCTTACATCGGGAGGTTGGCTTTAGTTTAATGCACCAATAGAGCAGTACGATTGCGTATGACGCACTAGATATTGGTACACAAACGTGAAATAAATAAGTTGCAGTACCACTAAACATCTACTATTCCCAATCAAGCCTTTTTAATGAAACCTCCGGAATTAAGCTGTTTAAGCTCTACCCAGAATTGTATCGGACGACGGTCACACTATTTTTTTTTTTTTTTTTGTGTGCCGGTGTAATTTTTACTATATTATAACAAATCAAAGTGATCACAAGTGCGTTATTAAAAAAATTGGTCGTCGTACTACAATCGGGCAACGAGAACCGGTATTACACCATTATAAAAATGGTAACACATCATAGAGCGATTTATACATGAAACGCCAGTAGAAAATAAGGGCAGAAGTGCCCCAATCAAAATTTTTAGTGACTCCGACGAGCGTTATATTGTTCGAAAAGTGATGATGAATCCCAAATTATCGGCTCCAAAGTTGGCTGTAGATGTTCAGCAGGAGTTCGAAAAACATGCAGTGCAGAAACTATCCGTCGCTTGCTTCGCGAACATGACTTTAATGGCCGAGTGTCTCGCGCCATGATCATTTTGCCGCCCGGGGCAAAAAACTGCAAGCTATTTTTCAAACAACACAGTTGTAAAGATCAAGCGTTGTTATATACAACAGTAAAACTTTAATAAATCTTGCCCTTTTGCTTAGTTTATATCTCATTCTGGCTTAATAAAATAATTTTAAATTCATTTGACTATTAATTCCAGCTTTTAAAATATGGGCGGCAAAATGCCTCCCACGCGATCACTCGGGCTTCACGAAAGGGCTCGTAGGAAGCCGTTTATAAGCAAAAAAAACCAAGCATGGCGATTAAAGTTTGCTAAGGAGCATGTTTGTAAGGCCTCGGATTTTTGGAATACGGCAATTTTTTCTGACGAGTTTAAATTCAACATTTTTGGCTCCGACGACATGTCTTACGTTTGAGGGAACAATACAGAGCTTAGTAAAGAGAACCTTAGAGCTACAGTAAAGCATGGCGGGTGTAATGCAATGGTTTGGGGCTGTATGTCCGCAAACGGTGTAGGTAACTTAGTGTTTATTGAAAGGACAATGGAAAAGACTATGGGCTGGTTTCTCCAACTCAACTTAACTTAGTTTAGCCACTTTTCGGACTTAAGTCAAAAGTTAGCCTACGATTTACACAGCTTTTTCGTGACTAAGTCAAGAAATTTGGCTTAACTAAGTTAAGTTGTGTTGGAGAAACCAGCCCTATGAATCTTGATATCATTATAAATAATTTGCTTTAAAGTGCCGGAAAGCGGACAGTTCCGATTTTACCAAGATAATGATCCGAAACATAAGGCAGCAATCGTACAATCCTGGCTCATATGGAACTGTCCCCCATTGAACATACCTCCGGCACAGTCTCCGGATATGAAAGTGATTGAAAATTTGTGGACTCTATTAGACGCTGGTCAATTCAATGCCACCGAGGATCCAGGCACGGCTTAAGGCAAAAGGCTACCACACAAAATACTAATTTTGACTCCTTTAGGAATAATTTAAACTGTATCAAATAAGTTGTGATCTGAAATATAGCAATATTTTTAGTTTTCAATATTTTTGTTAAATAATATAAATTTTGTGAAATAAGTGAAGTCCCATATTTATGTTAAGTTCATTACTTTATAATGTGGTGTTTTAATTTTGTCAATATTCCCATTAGATGTCCGATTCCTTTAAATCTTAATTTGTCAAAATGTCCTGGCGCAAGGTTGGTACGGAATCACTTCTTAAGATTCTTCAAAAAAGTATGCCCAAACCAAGTTTGTGGCACTTACTTTCTAGGACAAAGTCCGGGTGGGTGGTTGTGTGCCTTCTAATGAGATGATTTCGTTCATTAAAAAATACACTGGTTTCTGTTGGAATATACATACATATCTGTGTTCGTATGGAATAGCACTTATGTCGAAAGGCTGACTTTAGTATAATGCGGCATTCACTGCATACGATTTCGAATGACCCACTGGCGCCGAGCCGTTTAAGAACTTTTAGCAAATAATCGGGCAAGAAATAGTTCCGATACTAGCAAACCAATATTCTTATTAAGTCTCATCAAAAAATTCATTGTAGTTTAAAAGATAAAGGGAATGCCGCATTATACTAAAGCCAGCTCTAGACTTAAGCTACTATTTCATACGAACACAGATATGTACATGTCTGATTAAACTGGTACAGGGTTTTGTGGAGGGGTCGAGGGAGCGTTACGACACAAAGTTTGAACTCTGCTCTTTCTAGTGGGAGATATTTCAGTAGCCAATTTCTTAATTTTCCTGCTACAATGTAGTTTGGGATAATTACCTTGGATGTGTGTGTTTATATGTTTTTGGCTTATATTTTAAAATTAATATTGGCAAATAAATCTTAGTCCAGTTAAATGGCAATACAGTCCTTTCTTGAAATTCGTAGTTGCTTTTATTTAATGTTTTCTTTTTATTAATAGTTTATTTAGCGTTACACTTTTTTGTATGTTTTAGCCCTTTCTCTCCCTACTTTTCGTTTATATATCATGCAGGCGCATTTAATTTTAAGAGTTCAATGATTTGGATAAATCGTTTTTATTACTTTCTGGCGACTGTATGCACTTTCTGCTTTTGTTAATTTTTATACACTTGCTCAGATTATCGTACAACTATAATTTTTTTCTTTCGTCACCTTCCGCTGTTCCTCTTTTACTAAGTTGATTTTTATCACATGTCACTGCCCAAAAAAATTGTATCGCTCTATTTGGGTTCTAGTAAAACTTCATGTTTATAAAATAATTGTCACGCCAAACGTTCTCCTTAGATTGGAAAAATCATCAGGGCACCGAATGGCCTGGTCTAAATAATTGCAAATAATTATAACGTTCTTTGTTGTCACCGTCGTTGTTACACAATGCCAATACCACACTAATTTTATGTTAATATTTTCTTTCAAAAGATTACTCCGGTGCCGAATTTTTTCTTGTTTAACATTTCCTGATTTTTCGCATTTTCCGTTCAGATTTTCCGATTTCTAATAATTTTGCAATGTTGTAAAAATGTAAATTTGGAGAAGGCGCGTGCGAAAATGCTAATCAGAACAACCCAACCACAATGATAGCGAAGATGCGAAAGGCAGAAAATCGAAACGAAAAGCAAAATGCAAAACATTTACCACACATCTACTCAGGGGTGCAACCAATTGTAAAATGGGATGTGTAAATCAGAAAGAAGTCTATTGCAATTCAACCTAATTTTATTTTAATAAATTTAGTTCTTTTATGTGAATTAAAAACTTGTATAGCTCCAATAATGAAATAGGAGGCAAAATCCAGAAAAGTTGCCTTATGAGGCGGCGTAGTTTTTATAAAAAATTGATTTACTTTTCGACCATGATGTCAGAAATGTAGATGTGAAAAAAATTTACACCAAATGTGAACACTTCGCGCTTTTAAACATAAAAACTTACACGTATCACTATTGTAACTAAATAAAACTATAACTATTATAAGGTGACGTACTGGAATAAAATTATATTAACTTAGGCATATTACTTTTTGCTGATAAAGGTCGAGTCGTTTGTAGCTGATTTTACACCTTCGAAGAGATTTCGCTCCTTAAATTGCCATACGGTTCACAGCATGAACCGAAAGAGATATGCGAACACTTTTTAGCTTTACATATTAATATACTTGAACCCGAATAACTGCTTTTACATAAAACTCAATTCTATAGCACAAAAGCCTTTATAATTTTTCTTTTCCGCAGGATTTTTCCAGGATTTTATTGCGTTCTAATTGAACTCAAACGCAATCGCACACGTAAAAGACGAAAAAGATACTGATAAAATATAAGAGGTGGAGGAACAGAAAAAGGACACAAATTTAGAATGAGGGCAAAGAGGAATTCATATTGACAGCCTGCGCTCAGTGTTGCAATAATAAGTATAATTTATTGCTTATTTGGTACAATACCTAACCCATAGTCTTCACGTGCTTGTAAATCTCGATCGTGTAATACTTTTTTCTCGCAGCGAGATAGAGTTTGGTAGACTGGGCATTTGGCAGCATTTTTCATAAAAATACAAGATGCGCAATCGAGCTGAGAGGAACTGGCCGTGACGTCAAAATATACCAGAATGAGAGAGCAAAGACGAACTCGACAAGAAATAGAAGAAGCATCGAACAAAAGGCAGTATTGCCAAATTTTGAATTTGAAAAAGCACCAAATTTTTTTTGGTGTATTTTATGGACTTCATATGTAANAACGGTCGATTTCTTCTGGCATGATTGAAGGTGCTGCACATATTTCGTTGTCGCTTATGATTGTCACTGTGCCATGATTTTGTTTAAATTTTTGTAAAATTGCTTAGCACACTTACGATTGCTATAAATTTTGCTTCCATTTTTTTAAGATTTTCTAATTTGAGGTATCCAAACTAAAAACAAAAGCACCAAAAACGCACCAAGCACAAAACTCAAAAATTTTCGCATTTTGAATACCCACTAAATTTGGTGCGAAAAGCATGAAGTTGGCAACAGTGAATGTAAACAAAAGTATATAATGACGTCAGAGATTGGATGGATGCTGTCAAATCGACGAAGAGAGGGTTAGCGGTCCGCGAATGGCGCGACCTTTATTTTCTGGATCGTGGAACATAACAGTATATTTTTTTTTGGGGGGAACAACAACTACTACCATTCCTAAAAGAAAAGTCCAATGCCAAAGAAAGACCATGCAGTTGTATACACCATGATAAAAACTTAGTACGGTAAAACCGTTCTCTCAATTTGTCGACCATTAATATTTTTTTGAAGTTTGCCAACATTTTTAAATCATATAAAAGTGAGAGCAAAAAAAGGAATTGTTGTTGTTGTAGCGGCTACTAAGCCCCGTTCGGGGCGGTTCATCCATCAACATTGTCCTCAATTTCAGCTAGGGGGAGGCCCAGGAAGTGTGCGACTTCCACAGGGGCTGTCCATAGTGACAGGGGCGTTAGCTGAGTGGGGTTCTCAGGGCATGTGAAGAGGTGCCGGGAGTCATGCGGCGGCTCTCCACATGCCGGGCATTGGTTGGGCACATCCTCGTTGATTCTACTCAAGTAGGAATTGAACCTGCTGCAATAGCCAGAGCGAAGTTGGGCTATTGCAGTGCGGGTCTCCCGAGGCAGACAAAGTTCTGTCCCGTCCACGTCCGGTGGTTGTGTGCCTAGAACGGCATTCACAGGGCGAGAGTCTACATAACTTGAGACTGATTCCCTGTGAATGCCGTTCAGGGCCTGTCGGTAGGTTGACGGGTCCAGAGGTTGTATGATAAACCTTTGGACTTCGCCTGTCAGTTCGTAAAGATGCCTCTTGACGTGCCGTGGCGAGGGCTCTTCCGCGAGCAGCTGTCCGCTGGGATGGCCACGTCTGTAGCTCCCAGCAAGGAACTGCTTGTAGAGCATTATGTTGTGCTCCTTTACTGGGAGCGTCTGGGCCTCGTCATGTAGGTGGTGTTGGGGCGTCATCAGGAGGCATCCTGTCGCAGTTCGTAATGCCGTATTTTGGCCGGTCTGTATCTTCATCCACTGCGTCGTGCTAGTCCCCGGCGACCAAACGAGTGCTGCATAGTTTAGAACCGGCCGGCCATTTGCCTTGTATGTTGCCAACAACGTTTCTTTATATTTGCCCCAAGTGCTACCGGCCAGCGACTTGAGGACATTGTTGCGGCTCTGTACTTTGTTGACAATTGCGGTTGTATGCGCCGAGA